CCTGGAGCGGTTGCGTCACATGATTTCGTTGGTAAATTGAAAAATCGTGACGTGGCTTACGGATCTTTTAATTATAATTTTGAATTCATAATTTTGATTCGGATTTAATAATATTATTGAATTCAAAAATTGAAACCTAAAATTTTAATTCAATAATTTGAAAGCATTATGTTTTTCAAACGCCAATCAATGGTGAAATTCAAACAAAAGTGATTTAATTTGACTCAAACAAATTGACTTGAGTATAAACTAAAATGAACGCAAAGTGCAAAAATATGAGCAAAATGAAATTTCGAAAAAAAAATCACCCATTAATCCTCAATATAGAATATTTGATTAAAATTTTTGTAAAAAAAAATGAGATATTAGAAAAAATAAGTATTGGAAAAATAAAGGACATTAAAATTCTAATAAAATAAAAAAAGCAAAAGAGTCAAAAGAGTCAGACAACACTTTTTGAATTGAGTAATTTTCTCCTTCCATTTTATTATTCAATCAAAAAAATATGACAGAGGAGAAGATACTCGTAGTTAGTTGAATAAACGTTTTAAAAAATATTATACGGTAAAAAAATTCAATTAATAATGATAATAAAAAAAATGAAAACAAAAAACAAAACAATCATTTTGGTTTGCGTCTTTAGTTGAATTTTGTTAAGTTATTCAAAAGGTTGTCAATTTTTTTTTAACAATAATTATTTAGAAAATAAAAACTATAAATAAATAAAAATTGTAATGGTCAAAAAAAATTTTAGAAAATTAATTGAAATTTAAAAAAATTTTTTTTTTAAATTCACTCATTTTAAGTGTATTTATGAGAATATTTTATTAATTGCTCTTAGTTCCAGTATTAACACGAGCCTTAAATTACTTTAGAATACCTACATATATAAGATTTATAAATCAATTAAATATGATTTATAATTTTTAAATTACTTAATAAATACTTTAAAAAAATTAAGAAATTATTGAAGAGGATTAATTTCAATTTAAATAAAATGAGCATTTAATAATTCATTTTAAAAAAATTTCTTGTGTTATTAAAAATTAATTTGTTTACTATATTACATAGGAACTTGAATATTTTTTTTTTCTTATTTTAATAATTAATTAATCAAAAAACTAAATTTTAATAATGATCCCTCGGGTAAGTTGTTTTTTTTTTTCTTTTAGTGTCATAATCGAATAACTTAAGGATTACATCAACAAAAATTCATTTGTTTTAGAAGAATATTTGTTTTTAGTCATTTGTTTTAAAAAACATGATTTGTTTATGTCATGTGATACTCGAATTATAATATTTATAATAATAATGATTATAATAATAATTTGTATAATAATATTCGGTGTAATAATGTTTATAGGGATGATTATATTATTATCTTTTATGTTGACGATTACTCGTATGTTTTCAATAGTAAACAAAATTTGATTTGAGTGTATATGAGAATACTCAATGAGTAATTATGATAATAATGAGTATTTTTGCATGCTCATTATTATTATAACACAATATAAAATACTTAAGCCTGAAAATATTATGAAAGTGAAATGAAATTGATTTGAAAAATATGTATGTACTTGAGTATTGTATTCGGAAGTGAAATTTGACATAATTAGACATTTGATATAATTACAATATATTATGGTTGAGCAATATTATTGCATTGATTGAGAGGAGAATACAAAATATAACGTCCTTTCAAATTCATATACTTATACAGTATTATATAACAGTTAACAAGCAAATATCCTAGATATAGCGAATATGCTTAAAAAATAGCGATTTCTTATAATATTAAATTAGGTCTATTTTAATAATTTTTAATTCTACCACAACAGTTAACAAGTAAATATCCTAGATATAGCGAATATGCTTAAAAAATAGCGATTTCTTATAATATTAAATTAGGTCTATTTTAATAATTTTTAATTCAGGTTTTTTTAATTCATTGATTGAGAGGAGAATACAAAATATAACGTCCTTTTAAATTTATATACTTGTATACAGTATTATAACAGTTAACAAGTAAATATCCTAGATATAGCGAATGTGCTTAAAAAATAGCGATTTCTTATAATATTATATTAGGTTTATTCTAATACGTACACTTAGCAATTCTCAATCGAATTGAAATTATAACAGAAATTATGTTATATTATTCAATAATTATCCAAAAGCAATAAATTACTTAATTTACAATTGAATTAAGCAATATAGAATTAAAACCATCAAAAATCTTAATCAAAACTATATCGGCTTTCATTAATTACTATTTATACGGGCAAAAACCGGGTGTGAATGCTTACAAGTATCTTATTGGATCACTGTTGACTGAGAGAACATATGTATCAGAAAACTGGGCATAATAAACTATTGCCATTGTTGATGATTTTGTAGAAAATTGGAGGAGACTTCAGTTCTAAGGGGATTTGTAGAGTTCTGGCCTGCAGTGGAAAGAAAGTGTTAGTTAACTATACCCTCACTAGGGATTCGGTTCATTGATTCTTGAGTAACTTGCTTGAATTCATTATTTAAAAATTTATTGTTCTCATGCAATAAATCACCTTGATTTTAAAACTGTATTGGCGTATAAGAGTTATGTAAAATTTTTAAAAGAGAACTTATAGGAAATTCTCTCTACATAAATAAAATTTATTTCAATTTACTTTTATTTCACCGAAAAATTTTTCCCTATTTTTGCACACATATTAAACCAAAACAATTTACATATATATATATATTTATGTATTGTATGGTAATGGTGGTGTGGTATTTTTTTTTTTTTAGCTTACTCAATAATGTGGTGAGCTTTTTCTTTGCGGATATTTTAGATATATATTTGTACATATATTAAACATTAAGGTTCGATATTTTTTTTATATTTCTATTATTTATATAACTCATATGTATATAATATTGTTTATATTTACAAATGTACATATATATACCTACATATCGTACACAATGTAATTTCTTTTGAATTTCTTCGTCAAGGACATTTAAAGCTTTGCAACTGACACTGATATTTTTTATATAAACAATAAAATTCAATAGTGTTTATACTCGTATCAACATAATAAGGTGAATGAGGAGTTGATGGTGGGGAGCCGGTCGGTCGTATAATGAAAAATTTTGGTTTTCTATTTTTATGATTGAAATTTTTTTTGGGTTTGAAAATTAAAGTTTTTTTTTGTTTTTAGGTTCTATTTTATTACTTTATTACATTAATCAAATTATATTAAAGGTTTCTGATGCAAAATATTATAAGGGTATGCAAGAGTATTCATGGGATAAAAATAAGTTTTATTTCTCATATAAATAAGAATTTAAAGAGATTATTCAAAAACTTATGTACTTATCAGGTGTTCGTAATTCTGTACCTGCCGTTTATAATTAGATTTAAGCAAAACATAAATATGCCGAACTATTGGTAATATACGAAAAGAGTACATTAACAGAAGTAAATATAAAATTACTCAAAAAAGATTAATGTAAGGAGTTAATTTGTATAATTTGTATACTCAAAAAGGAGTAAATAAACCATTATTAATAAAAACGGTAATAAATATCGTAAACGGCAACATGGTAGTTTCCTGAACTAACATATTTGTATAGTCTTCAAATTTAAGTAGATCACACAAGTTTCCTATCACATTAGGTTGTGATTTAAAATTACAGTATGCAAAATAATGTAATTTTGCAGTTGTCCACTCTCTTTACAACAGAGGAGAGAGAATAGAATTTGAGTGACAATTATCCAACTTTGAGTTATATATGTAGTTTACACTACTTGTGATCGGTTATAAGCGGAATATAGGAGCACTATAATAAGTCATTGCTGACTGTGACGTTCGGAAGCTCAATTGTCCATATATATCCCTTCGGTAATCTGCAATCTATAGGTACGTCTCACTTAATTTTAGCGTGAATCATCTATTATAGTTATTTTACTATATTTTATACTGTTATAGTAGGCATTTTGAATTTCCTACACGTTTTTTTTATTAAATATTATACGTTTTGCTTTTAATTATAAATTTATAAAAAAAAAGGATGAAAAAACATATAAAATTTTTTATTATACTTATAAGTGTGCTATCAAAATTTTAATACCAATACATGACTAAATTTTTGATTTAAAAGTTTTAGTGGCCTAAAATTCCTAGTGGCATAAAATTCCTAATTTTATTGACTTTAAATAGTAGTAAAAAAGCTGTTCTATATTTGCATTGGTAAATTTTATATTTAAACTTTTATATTGTATACAGGACATAAATTTTATAACACTTCAATAAATTCAAATTTTAATCAGGTTTTAGTGCCATTATTATTTTTAGTATATGTGTATAACTCTAGCCATAGACCAAATATATTAAGTTTAATTTTTAATATTTATTTTTAGTTTGCATCAAACCAGTTTTAATAAATTTATTAATAATTGAAATTGTATAATAATTTCTATTTATAAAATTTATTTTTTAAATAATATTTGAACTGGATTTCTAAAAATTGACAAAGTCATTTAACCTATTTTTTTTGGTTTATCTAAAAAATAAAATATTTTTATAATTTTAGACTAAAATTCAAATTGAATATGCGGGATTCGAAATCAAAATTGAAATTACGGTTATAATAGTGGAGTTATTTGATTTAGTTTAATGATTTTTAATATTTGAAAAGCGTATAACACATAGCTGCATCAGAGATAAACTCCCCTTTAAAATATTTTGAAAATTTGTCGAAAAAACGTCAGACGTCAAACGTCCATGTCTTAATTGCTCTTCAATTAAGAGAATAACTTTTCAATTGTCTGTTCTCTTCTTTTCCAATTATGCTTTTTTCGATTTGTAGCAAGATCAATTCGTATAAGCAACATTTTGTGTGAAAAATAAAATTCCTCTAATTTCAATACTCTCTGAACTCATTTGCATGAATAATTTAGCATTTCAAACCGTTAAAGGCAGATTTGAAGTTCGATTTGATTTGATCGTAAAAAATGAATTCACAGTTCCGTGATTTACATGAAATATAATAAAATTACTTAGCCTCTCTTAACATTGAGTTACCTATTTCTTAGTGTATTGAATTACTTTCACTACAACCTTTATTTTATATGAAGAATGTGTATAATGTGAGCTAATAAATCTCTCGTTCAATTTAATTAAAATGTCCATTTTGTTCAATTTATTACAAAAATCTTTTGTTTTTGTATTGGCACTGACCTTTGATTTTTTTATTAAAATTGTGAGATAAAATTATAAGAATCCTTTGACATACCTGAAAATAAAGAAAAAAAAATAATTTTGTTAGTGCAAACTCATTTTAGTATTGTAAGAGAATTAAAAAAAATTTTTTGCAAAATTAAATTTTATTAATCAATAAAGAAGGTTTCATCAATAAATTTTCTTATTTGTAGACGTGATTCTTAATTTAAATCAGTAATATTTTGTAAAATTACAAGATAAAGAAATGCTAATAAACGAGAAAGAGAGGTAAGAGGGCCAGGGAATTTAAAGAGTCTATTTATGCAAATTCACCGGCACGTGTCTCGAATTAAAGTTGAGGATTTTTCAGTATAAATATAGTTTCATGAGTAAATATTATTAGAATTTTTAAATGATAGCGAAATGATTGTTACATTTAAATGTCGGTTGCTACATTGAAATGTCGGTTGTTACATTGAGATATTGGTTTGTTACCCTATAATAAAAAAACTCAGTTATTAAAAAAATAACCAAATTAGCATAGTAAAAGTTAAAATCTACTAATTTTGAAATACTTTGCTCCTTTGCCAAATATTCTCAGTTTCCGAAAGTGATGTTAACACCACCAAACTGCGAGTCAAACTGTGAGTTAAATGAGTAAAATGTTTCAGTAAGCCGAGAATTAAAATAAATCAAAATTTTACAGGAAGCTCATTTAAGACAAAAAAAAATGTGAGATTGTAAAGATCTCAACAATTAATTCGACAATTTGTTCCTTCCGATATTTTTAAGACCATTTTCGTTAGCAATTTCTACTTTCTTAATTAGGTACCAGGGAAGGGTTTTGAGGTTAGTAATACTAATAGTAGAACAGTAAATTTTTTAAGAATTCCAGCACTAATCTGTAAAATTTGAATAAAAATTCAAAATTTCTTTTGTCAATAAGAAATTTTCAAGTAGAAGAATCACAAGTGTAAATTTCAATAAAGAATACATAAAATACAGTATAACACTTTATTTTAAGTGTCCTGTTGAAAGAAAAAATTTTGTTTTTTTTTTCGTTATTCCAGCTGAATATTGAAATTCTTAGAACTACTCCCAAATCAAATTAAATTTTTATCGAAATCAATTTTTATTAAATTAAATTTTGTACTTTATTTAAATAGTTCTCACTTCTATAATATAGGACATGGCTCTCTTATCCTTCCTCTCAATCTATATCGCATTCAATGAATAGATTTCTACCATTTTTTTTTTTGTTAGAGAATTTCGACTTCATATTAGAAATTTTTTTATATAAAGAACAAAATTATCATATTTATTCGCCATTATAATTTGATAGGAACAACAAAAACAAAAAAGGATTTGATGTTTTTTAAAGGATCCATAATATTTATTTAAAAAGTATATTAGAAAGAAAAGTACGAATAAAACACCTTTTAAACCCTTGTTAAAGTTTTTCCGAAAAAAACACTTTTTATATGGCTACAATAATAATCTTATCCTTTTCTTCTTTTTTGTTACAAATTTTTTTAGTTTAATCTGATATAAGACTATCATTTTTTAAGGGTTAAAAAACTATAAAAATAATATTAAAGAGAAAAAAAAATTTTCGTATTAAAATGAAAAGAATGAGTGCTTCATTTTCTATTAAGAAGTTTAGATTTTGGGCATTCTTATTCTTTTTGTTCTTAAATATTAATTATATAACTCTATATGGCAGGCTAGTTAGCTACCTAGTTAAACTCTATGACGGAATGAAACTGGGACATGCTATCTATGATATCATGCACCACCCCCATGCTAGATCCTAGGAGTGAAGAAGGAAAAACAAAAACCAATATATAACTCGGGTTACCCAAGTAACTGAACTGCAAGAGATTTGTAAGACGCGCATTTGTGAGACAAATCTAATTTTGAGAGACATTTTAAAATTTCCTAGCTCTTTGGGAACACACGCGTGCCTTACCGCAGCATGAATAAGATTAAAAAATCACATTTTGAGAGCCATCTCTTAGGAAAATTTCGCAGCTTCTTCTGAAAATCTTTAGACTGGTAAAATTATGTAAGTTACCGAAACGCCTATTCTAAAAGTATTTAATTTCAATATTTTTTTTTTAAAAATTTTACTCCAAATTATGCAAATGTTGTCCTTTGTCAAGTTAAAATCAAAAGAAATTTTCATATTTCATATTATCAAAAAAAATCAGAGAAAATCAAAACAGATGTCTCTGTCAAATAACTTGATGTGTCACATAAAATTTCAAAATTTGACATTTTTTTTTGCTAATACGAAAATGTCCCGCCTACACAATGATCTAAACCTCAATATTAAATAATTTTTTTTTATCTATAGAGCATTTTTTGAATTTTTTAGAATTTGGGGGATTTTAATATCATTGTGGTCAAAAAAATTTAATATGTCAATTTAATGTCCTTGAACATTGTAAGGACAAAGACAACCGTCTTTTTTATATCATAGGACATATTATCTGGCGCCTATTTTTAATTTAAATGAGAATTTTAAATACACGTTATTTCACATTTTATGGAGAGTATGGGAAATAAAAAATCCTTGAACAAACAACACACCCTTAACATTCTAATTCTCTAATTCTTTCAGTAATTATTTTAAATGCACTTAATCTTACATAAAATCTAACATAATTACACTGTCAGATTAAAAATCGAATTAAATTTTTTAAATTAGCAATTTCTCTGCTCCGTTTTCATTTTCCTCTTCTTTAATTCAAAAATCATTTAAAATTTAATTGTTCTAATTTCTCATTTACACAAAATAATTACTAAAGCTAAAATTAAACTTAAATAAGAACCTTAAATTCCCTTGCACAAATTGAAGATTTTTTAAGGGAAATGAAACACTCACTCATTGTTCTAACAAAAATTTCCTTATGTGTGTTTGTGTTGCGAAACGATTGTGAAAAAATCATTAAAACAATTTAAGGAACGATTAAAATAAAAAAAATTCTCAGGTGAATTCAATTTTTCTTCTTTTTAACAAGAATGAAAAAAAAAAAAAACCATCGACCTTAAAGGATAAAATGGAACAAAAAGCTAGAAATTTTAATTTGGATATGAAATCTTACATAACATTGTATGTGTGTATGTGAATGGTAGGGTTAAATTTTTGTAAAAGTTCTAAACAGATGATTATACCAAAGAAAAAAAGCAACAATAACAAAACATCATTGGTGGTTAATGAGCATTAAAAATAAAGCTTAAGAGAGAAAAAAATGTTAGAGATGAGGTAACAGTAGGGATGTGTACGGGGCAGGGATGAGTAACAGCATTTAGATATTAGAGAAAAAAAGGATAATTTTTATAATTAATATAGAAAAAATAACGGTAAATATATTTAAATATAAAAAAAATGAAATTTGAAACTTTTAAATATAATTTTTTTGGATAATAATGTGAGAGAGTTGGTTGGGGGTTGGTTGTTTTTTTCCCCTATTTTACAAATTATACAAAAACAAAGTGTTATATGTAGAAGACATGCGGTATAAAAAATTATTCATCTAAAAAATTTGATGGATATGAGGAAGAAGACATTTTTTTTCTTGTAAAAAAATATCAAAGTAAATTTAAATTTTTCTATTCAAGGATATTTGAGGCGTAGAAAATTTAAAAAAATGAATGCCCATACACATACATATACACAAATATGTAAATCATATAAAAATCATTATACTAACACATTATAGGAAAGTTAAATGAATATTTTGTTTTATAAAAAATATTTCAGATGGAAAAAAAATATGGCATACTCCGAAAGAATTTTAATTAAATAAAAAAATAAAAATTTCTAATTAGTTTTGTAAGTAGATGAAACAAAAAATTTTAATCGCAGTCCAACATGAATTTTATTTAATATGGCCGCAAAATTTTACATATAAGTAAGGTTAGAAACATATATAGCAAATACAATTAAAGGCGAACAGGTCAGAAAAATTTATCCGAATTGTATTAGTGTAGAAATTTGAATATAGTATAGCTGCCATATGGTACTTCAAAAATTTTTAGTAAAAAACTCTTTCCGTGAAGTTACGATTCCACTTCCGAATACTCGGAACGTACGTTCGGTTTTCTAAATTCAACGCATAGTTAATCGTAATTTTTATAATTTCTCTTTTTCAATTGAATTTATTTTAATATTAATGTGTTGCACTAAAATATTACAAAAATTCTTAAATATCCTTGAATATTTTAAAATTTATAAAAATGTTGTCTATTAAACAATATGAAAATTGCATAACAAGTTCTAAAGTACAACAAGGAAAACACATACTTAAATATTTTCTTCTATTCAATAAAAAATTTGCGCTTTAATCCTTTCTTCAAATAAAAATTTTTTTTTATTTATTTTTTGTTTTATATAGTCTTAAAATTTTTATTTATAACATTAAATCCATTACTTTACTTATATAGTTCTCTGTAATCAAAGAAACGCATCCTATATATTCTTATAATATGTGTGTGATTTAAGTATATAAACCTATATATTTACAGGCGGCTACACTGTGCATTATAATAGATAATAAAAAAATATAATATTCCCTTTTATATTTATTTATTTTTTTTTTTTCTTTAAAAGCGAACTTAAATATGCCCCTGAAATATTTCAATATTCATATTATATTATGTACCTAACATCTTCATTATTATTTGCTTTCAATGACTTTTAGTTTTTGCTGTTTTAAATTATTATATACCCTATACATTATATGTGTACTTAGATGTGTATAAATATTTTCTAAAAGTCATGGATTTTATATATTATAAAGTACAAAAGTAATACACAATTCGTAGACAGAATTGGAATCAGTTTTTATTGTCGGCATTAAGGGTCACTATTTATATTTCGGGTCCTGGCAATACTAGTGCTGCCAGGTGCAATCTGACACTTCCATTGGAAAGTTTGACATTTTTTAGGACAACTTCACTCAGAACGTCTTGTCATTCGAGCGCGAATTGTTTTGTTTACAGTGACTTGAAAAATTCATCTCGGTCAAAAAATGGAATTGTCCCGTGAAAATTTTCGTGCGATGATTT